GGGGGGGAGTGGCTGTCGCAAGATAGTCTCAATAAGAAAGCACATGTTGTGCCTCAGGGGGAATGCAACATGTCTTACATCAAACAAAACACATGCTACAAGCAAAAAATACAAGCTCCTTACTAATTTAAAAACCATAATCTGCAACACAAATCACAGATGTTACTAGAAAATGACAACAATATAACAGTTTGTGTTTGAAAGAGTAATAAAACAAAACAGATACTCAGTGTGTGTGTATGTGTGTATATATATATACTGTATATATAACTGGATTAAATTTACTTTACTAAAAAATGTACTGATAAAAAGACACACACTTTGCCTTTAGTTTTGACTGTTTATACCCTGCTCAGCTACAAAATTCATGGAATATGGCGTTAACATTCTAATGCCTAATACTAATAGTTTATTTCATTGCATAGTGGGTTAAGATGGAAGTATTGGAAATAAGAGTGTTACATGTTTACCAGCCCCTGTGAGTATATGAGAAGTTGAGAAATCGCTGGTTGACTCACATATCTACGGAACGAGCACCAGCTGTGTTGCTCTACAGATGTTTCATCTAACTTGAGACCCGTCAAGACAGAGCTAAACAGCTCAGCTCACTGTAAAACCTCACAGCTTCTGAATCAGCATTGGTAAGTTCATTATGTTAGGATTTTCGTAACGTTATTTCTAATGTAAATTAACGTTTCATATAACAAGGGGAATGCATTTTTTTCTTTTGACAGGCTGTAGCTATATGTACAGCGATGGATTCCGAAGAGTCTGAGGGTGTTACAAAGGGGTTTGGAGAAACCGGCAGCACTGAATATGTGATTCTGTGTGACAAAGTGGACGTCAACCACTTTGGTTCACAGTTCATACCTGCCTCATACTACTCCATATTCCTGTTCAGCCTGCTTGGGAATGGACTGGTTCTATATACCATGTACAAGTATGAGAAGCTCAACACCGTAACCAACATTTTCCTTATCAACTTGGTGGTCTCCAATTTGGTGTTTTCTTCAAGTCTGCCATTTTGGGCTACATACCATTTCTCCAGCTGGGTCTTCGGGAGCGCTCTGTGTAAGCTGGTGGGTGCTGTCTTCTTTGTGGGGTTCTATAGCTCAATACTGTTCTTGACGCTGATGACCATCGACAGATACCTGACTGTGGTTCACCCCGTCAGTACCAGTAAGCAGAGGAAGAATGCATATGCTTTGATATGTTCTGCAGTTGTATGGTGTGTCAGCATCCTTGCCAATGTGAAGGAGTTTGTTGTGCTAGATGTGATTGATAGTGAAGATTTTGGGTTGCTTTGTGAAGAAACCGAGCCTTCAATAGAATTCTTTGCCACATGGAAAGTCATAGGTGACTACCAAAATTTTGTGCTGTTTTTCCTTCTTCCCCTTGCCGTCATTCTTTACTCTTATGCTCGAATAATCATGAGGATCATGCAGACAAGGTTGAAAACAAAGTATAGGACAGTAAAAATTATTTTTGTGACAATAATAATGTTTTTTGCTTGCTGGACACCTTACAATGTAGTCGTACTGTTAAGAGCTCTCCTGATTGAGGATGCCGATGAATGTAGCCAAAATCTTGACTATGCACTCTATATTACTCGAAATATCAGTTACCTCTACTTCTGCGTTAACCCTATCTTCTACACCTTTCTGGGGAAAAAATTCCGGAATCATTTCTATAAACTCTTGGCAAACCATTCTATTTGTTTACACAACCAACTAATAAGTCAGAGCAGTAAGACTAGCTCTCAAAGGAGTTTTTGTGAATAGGTGTTTTCTCGTGAAATGAATGCATACATTATTTGCACACAGGTTATTTCAATTACAAATTTATAATGGGTCATAATTATGTATTATTGTAGAATTCAATTCACTTTATTTTAATGTACAATGTTATAGTGCTCAAATTCCATATAAAAATAAAATCTTCAATGCAACGAAAGCTGCTCACTAGATTTTCTCAGTTTATATTGTCCATAATTATACAGAAGTAAATTAGCATTGTATGGTGAATGGATTTCAGACAAACAGATCCTCACAAATGAATAATGTACAATGTACATCACAGTAATGCTTAATTGACTCACATTCTCAAATAACTAATGCAACTCTCTTTGGGTTTGTCAACATGGTTGGTAACAGGGAAATTTTTATTGAAGGATAATGGGTCCAGTCTTTGATTATCTTTTTTCTGTAAGTGTAAATTTATTGACTGGTATCCTGTCTTTTGTCCTGTGCTTTCTGAGATGGGCTCCCGGCTGTTTATGATGCTGTACTGGAGTCCTTTTGGTGGCCAGATGACTGACACTGCACCTAGAAACATGAATAGAGTGAACAGTGCAAAGATGAAGAATCATAAAAATACATGACAAATCCCTGTTTGTATTAAATAGAATTAATTGTATTGACTGTAAAAAGACCCTAAATAAATAGTGTTCTGAAGAAAAAGTCACGTGGCTTTTTTAAGATAAGATACATGAAATGTGATTAAATGATTTCTGAAAGTTGTGCCTTAAAGAAATAGATTTACTGCGTGTGAGACCACTTGTGGGCTTTAGGGAGATAACAGGATATCTCCCCCCAGCACCACCCCCACTCACTGTAAATGCTGGTTTATGTTGTTTTGGGGTGTTTTATTTTGTTTGTTAGGCCCTGTTTTTGTCGTCATTTTCACTGGGATATCTTGGCACCCAGGGCTTCCATGGGGCCCTCAAAAAGATTTGGTCCAGCGATTCTGTTAAACCTGCAGTGAGAGGAACTGCCCAAGTGTGCACTCTGTGGTAATTGCTGAAAGAAATGAGATAAATATATAGGTATATGTATTTTTTTTTCTAACTGGGTGTTTTATTTGGCACACTTATATAACATATGCAATCTTTCAGTCTTTCTTACCAGAGAATTAGTTTTTTTAGTTTAGTGTTTTTTATCACCACACCCATAAACTGCACAGGAGGCAGCGAAAGTTTAAAACTTTTGGATCTGTTAGAAGTGCTTTTTTTTTTTTGCAACATTTTTCCAGAAGGATCTATCTCTTCAAGGAATGATGCAATAAAGTCAACGGGGGCCATATTTGCCCCACAGAGCTACACAGCGCCTCTGCTTCACACATTCACTTTATCTTGGTTGTCCGAATAATTTGAAACTCCGCGGCCGCCAGCGGCATCACTGTCATTCAGACACACAAGGGTGGAAGCTTCTAGCGCGGTGGTTAAATACTTACTGCTTGAGATTTACTGGTTTCAAATCCCAGTAAGAGCCCTCCAGTCGTGCCCTTGGGCAAGCTGCTACACCTGGATTACTCCAGTAAAACACCCAGCTGAACAGGTGGACTGAGGGTGATTTGAATAAATGCAAATGGAAATGCTGAAATGGCTTCTTGAAGGGTTGTACACAGCACTCTAAGGAAAGTCTTACTGGTCAGCTGTATAGCCACAGCATGCTTCAGACTTACATCATATCTGTGTACAGGATTTAAATACAAAAAGATGGGGAGGCTGGTGGGTTGATCATTCCAAAAAGAGGCTGCTGATTTTATGAGATG